GGTACGGCCATTAATTCGAAAGCAGAAAAGTAGGAAACCCATTACCAATCTTGACAGAGCTTTGCTGCCAACTCTGAAAGGTATGAGAGATGGAAAGGTAAGGAAGTGGTTCGGGCATTAATTCGAAAGCAGAAAAGCAGAAAACCCATGGGCCACCCAATTACCCCAACCATTCCAACAGAGTATCCGGAGAAGCGCGAACTTACAAAACTCACGCGAGCAGCACATGACGACGAAATCCTTTGGCACGTTGTATGTTATGTTGAGTATGTAGAAGATTAGTTATTATGTTGATAACTAGGAGGCATAAACCGCATGATGCGCGATAGCAATAGTGCTTAGCATGCCCAATTGAATGTAAAAGAAAGTCGAATTATAAGTTTAATTAACTTAATTATTGAAAGTGAAAAATAGAGTATGCAAACACATACATTATATTAGCGACTATAATAATTTAAAGTATAAAATGATTTGCAAATTTGATAACTACCGTTAGAAATAAGCTACATGAGAAGATTAATTCTTCAACGCAAAAAGATGGTATGCTTGACTTAGGGGACCTTCCGGCTACAATAACTATTTAGCTCTCCTCAATACTAATTCTTTCACCATTTAATCTACCACATCACCAAAGAGCACTCCTTTTCATCCAAGAAAAATGTGGCCTCTATTTGCTCTCAGAAAAGATAGTAGACCAAAGATTTGTCTGGGTGGTTCTCGTGAATAATCCAATTACATAAAAAATAACAATTAAACTCATCTTAGAAGAGAAATTTCCAAAATGATAACGAATTTTAAAAAATTTATGCCAAGGGGCGTTTTGAGTGTAGAATTCTGTCAAGAGATCTTCGTATTCAGCAAATTTCCAACCCACAAAGTTCCAAAAAAAAAATAAAATTATACCTCGCAATTGATATAGACAATACAGAAGATATAAACAATTGATGTTTCATCATTTTTTTATTGGTTTATTAAAATTTTAAATTACCAAACTAAGGAAAAACAAAAAGCATTTACATGTGACAGCTACTATTAAGCAAATTGAGAAAAAAAATAAATGGATTGGACTCAAAATTTATAACCATTAACTAATTTTGGTGTTCGACGACAATTTCATCTAATGATCAATCTGAGTTCATCTAACCACATCATAGTTTTCATCCAACTCATCTAACTTTTTCTTAGGAATTGCTTTGTCAACCAGGAATGACTCAGTTATTCTTGTCAATCCACCTGTTATTCTTGGCAATAGTGTCCCGGCAGTTGCAATGCCAGGTTTGTATACATTAAACAAAGCTTTTATATCTATGAATTCTTAATTTGTTACTTTCATTGATGTTTTGCAATCATCTGTTGTTCCGAGAACCAACTTTCTTTATCAAAGGTGTGTATTCGCCTTGATACAGGTTTGAACAATCTGAAGATATAAATAAAAGTGCATCAGAACTTGGCGAGGCTAACATCAGCAAAGAAAAATTGATGATGATTTTTTGTTCCTCTGTTCTATAACTATGAGTCCAGGTGGCTGTGTCCTTTGTTAATGCTCACAGCGTTGATCATGCTGCAAAATTTCAGTGAACTTAGAGCTTTTAAAATTGTATCTGTAAGCTATTGACTTGCTCAAATTACTTAGAACTTGCAACAAATCAAGTTGTGTCAACTACAGATTGAACATTGGTTCCCTTCATTTTCTTTAATGGCATTCATTAGAAGCTGGCCAAGAATTTTGACCTCTCATAACGTCTTTGGAGTTTTGTTACTATACAATATAAATACAATTGTAGAAAAAAAAATTTACAGTGGAAATGATATTGCAAATATTATTCAAAATTCCCCTTATTCAATTATTGATTTAAAAAAAGTAATGGGACTACACTCAACCACTGATGATAGTCATCAAATTGTGCATGATATGTTCGATATCAGGTATTGGATCTGTCTCGGTTGCCAAACAAGCCATCGCCAACTTTAATTGCTTGCATTCGAAGTCCTCTTCACAGTACTACATTGGAACATCATGTAGTTCAAAGTTCACCTTACCTGCAGGATCCCGGAAGTGTGTATGTGTAAAATATTACTGAAGGAAGCTTGAGTTGAGTTTGCAGGGTGTTGCCCCTTTGTGTATTAGAAATTCATTTCACATGTATTTTACCCTGCTGAATGCTTTTTTTTTTGCTTTAAAGTAGGAGATGATGCTCCTATTCATTACTAGGAAGAGATCTTAAACCTGCATCTCTTTCCTTTCTTATTGACCGTTCTATCTCCACTGTTCATGAATTTCCTTGTCTTTCTCCTCAGATGGAGATTGCTTTCCTATTTCCATGTTCTAGGTTTCTAGTGGTGAATGAAACATTTGCATCAGCAGGCCAGTTGGATCTTAATAGTGTTCAACATCCAGTTGTTCATATGTAGACGAAGCATAGCGATACAGAATCGCTATAACAGGACATCAGGAGATGACATGATATTCGGTAACCTAGAGTAATAGCTTTTGCAAAATTTCTTCTAAAAGGAAGGAATTTGCACATTTTATTTTCACATATTGGCAAAGGATATTGTGATTAAAGAACTTTATTGAATAGATGCTACGCTGATACAGGAGCCAGTTTTTTCAACCATCCCCGGAAATGTGGATTGGAAAGACCTGATAAATTTGCTTGTTAAGTGTTGGAAAACTTCGGCCTCTCTGTCAGAAGGATAATGTTGTTCAGGCTGAAAATTTGGGGAAAAAATTGTAGTGAAGGACCCTCTTTACATGTAATTTCATATTTAGTTGGAACCCTTCAGTTTGTAGAAGAAGCCTGATCTTTTGATCTGGAAAGTGGGAAAAATCGGCATTCGTTTTGAAATTTCGCCTGATTGTATTGGGGTTGAAAAATGGACGCATTCATGATTTTAGGACCTCAGGTTGATATCTTAGACACTGCTATCTCTAAATGCACCTCAGCTTGGTATAATTGTTGGAGTAGTTCTGACCTTTGGTTATTGCTGTTGCTCGACTGCTTGATATTTCTTTCAGTCCATATACATATCTATATGCAAGCATACAAGTGGTGAAGATTCATTCAGAAGCTCACATGTGCAGGGACTATATGAGATAGTTCGTCTCTCAGGCTTCTTCTTCGTTTCTAACAACGGCCAGGTGCAGCTGTCGGACAGTTTGAAATTGACCTTTCGTGATCCAGATGGTGGGGTTTTCGGTGGCCCTGTGATTGGTTCGCTGATTGCTGCCACACCTCTTCAGGTTCAAACTTTCCATTTCTAGTTCCATCTTCTGTTCGTGATGTTTTGAGTCTCAGGTTAAGAAGAAAGCCGATCTCTTTTGTGTACGTACTGTTATCTGTTGAATACAACTTCTGCAAAGATTGTCCTTTCCGTTTGTCTTCCGTGTTCACTTCATCGTTTAGATACTTGGTGTGAGGTCCTGTTCTTGTCCATTAGCCTATAGTACTCACTTACTCCTGTATTCTTAAAGTACATAGCTGATCCATTTGTTTGCCAGCTTTGTTTAATCAGATTCATCTGTAATTTGACTTCACTTTTCAATTCTCTGCCTTCCCATGTCATAGGAGGCATAGAGAGCTTCTGAACCTGAAGTTACATTGCTCATCTCCCTTGTGATTCTCTCTCCTCATTTGCCAGGAAATGATGTACTCGATTCGTGGAATTTTCTACTTCATAGTTTCTTGAATTTGTGTCGGCTTATCTCATGTTTGTAAGTGTCTTGGTTATGTGTCAGCATAGGAGGCTTGGTTTAACAAGAAGTATTCTTGTACTTGGGTGGTTCTATTGCAGGTTGCAGTGCTTACCTTCATCCATGATGCATGAAGAACAGAGATAAGAATCGGCAAAGCCGCCCAATGATCTGGCCTTTTCTTTATTGGCTCTGGTTATGTTTTTCGGACGAGGGAATTAGTTTCGGGTGTCTCTTTGTCTGATGGATGTTTTCATGCATTTCAGGCTTGTAGACTTGGCAGCATGCATTTTTGCGGCTTACTTTCCTCATGTTCTGTCTGGGTTTGGACGCATGAACGTGAAACTACAAAAAAATGATTTTCATAAGCGTGGGTATTGTAGTTTAGATGAAAATCTTTTGCATCAGCTGCTGTCATTTCTAAATGCAAAGGAAGATCACTATTAAAAGGGTTACACCTTGAATAAAGAAAATGAATCCAACACGGGAACACTAAATCCTACTTCTGATATCAACAAATGTCGATCCTAAGGCATCCAGGTTGCAAGCAATGTCGAGTGCGCAACCTTCAGTTCATTACGTATAACACAGAACTAATCATCTTTGAATGTTTCTAACATTCACCATTTATCTACTTAATTTTCTTCTCATATATTCTTGCATTGGTGCAACTGCACCTCCATTGAACTTACCTGCACTTTCTTTCATAAGCATATCCTGCCCAATGATACATTGCCATTCAAATTATTCTTCATTCATTCATCTCAACAAAACTTCCAAAACAGTATTCTGCTTAGCCCAAAATGCATCTATGTGATACATGTTCTCAAACATCTTTCTTAAAACAGATAACCAAGCATATGGACTTGACTAACATCTCATCATACTCTAAGTAGCAGGAAATCATGGGATTCCCTAAATGAAAATGCTAACTGCTTGATTTCAAGACATCCTAAGGAACAAAGAAGAAATGATAAGAGGCTTGTTACAGTCATATCAACACCACACGTGAAATTCATACATTACAGAAATTTGGCTGTGACCAATAATTATTAAATAATTTATAGTACAAGAGTCAATCGTGACATTTCCTAAGCCTAGCAGACTGATTCTACAGGATGGACAAAGGCCTGGAAAGGGAAGCATAATTCTTAGTACTATTCCATTTACCAAGGAATCCCTGAACAAAGATCAAAACGTATGAGGGACAAAGGTAAGAAACAAGAAGATATTCCAGTCTAATCACAAGCACAGTATCCCTTATAGAATGACGACGATATGTCGTCTTGAACTACTAGCATGGAAAGTAGAACCTACTTTAGCTGAGGAAGATCAATATTTCTCACTTTATGTGAAAGGTTAATATTTAACCAGTTCTCCACCAAAGGGGTAAAGCATTCAAATAATCAAATTCATTGAATGCACTCAAAGGAAAACAGGTTTCAGCTGTAAGCTACGCATAAGAGGCTGGCAAATCACGTCCATCAATGCAGACAAAAACGATCAACCAAACAAATAAACAGGACAATAATTCCATATACCATAAGATGACATACCATCGGCCACCAAAATCCATCCTGGCATCATTGAGACAAAAGAAAGAAAGGAAATTGTTATGAGGAAAGAAGCGCCTGAAATGACCAAACTTAAACGTATGGGCACGGCACAGCAATATAAAATACTGGCTCGAGACTTACAAATATGTAAAGTTAGCAACTCCCGTACAAAACATTCCCAAGGACAAAGCCCAGTGATCTACAATAGAAACAGAAGAAATCGAGGCCAAAAATCACCATTTAGCAACAAAAAGAAAATATTACAGTCAATGCATTAAATAGTCTTTCTAAAAATTTACCCAACATCGTAGCATGCCCATTTCTCAGTGATTCACTGAAACTACAGCCATCAACTAATGCAGAAACCATATGGGCCAAAAGCAACTCAGAAAATTATCTTAACCACTTTAACAAATTTATCGTCTCTGTACTTCTAGGCCACTGGCAAAGCTCCACAAGTCCCTAATTACCACTTTTTCCTGGCAACAAAAGAGGCGGATGAGAAAACATCCATGTCTTTGTGTCAACCGTAATCAGTACCAACAATAAAAACAGTTTTGAGAGCTGGAGCTACATTTGTACCCACTTAGGTTTCAGTTAAAATTAAAGTAAATTAAATACTTGTGATCAGCAGATGGTCACAGTCAACATCTTTCTGAAACAAATATGAATCCTCATAGAAAATTCGCCAACATACTATCTCAGTAGCTAGGTAAAAGGTTCAACCTATGTAATTCACCTCCAGATACATAGGCAGAAGTAACGACAACTTGAGATCAGTACAACTAGTTTAGAAAAGAAATTTATGATGCATCATTGAGCGGAAAGTGCTGTTCCCAAACAGGAAATCTTCAAATAAGGAGTTTGAATCCCAAAAACAAAAGAAAATATTATCTAATTGTAATCATCATCGATCAGCACGAAGAATATCTAATTTGAAAATCAAAATATATATTAAAATATATATTATTAATTATTATAGAAAATTAAATAAAAAATAAAGGTAGTGAATATAGAATGGGAATGTGGGCAAGGAGACATTTTATCTTCGAAAACCAGCACGTTAGTGGCAAATAAGAAGATTGTTTACAGGATTCTCGCTCTTTCATTCATACCCTTCCATGAGACTTTCTCACACTGGCCACTTAAGCATGTGCATGTGTGTGCATGTAGAGATATTGGGTTCTGATACATGCTTTTCAACTACTATTTATAGTGCCCTCAGAGCTTTCATTTGCTCAAAGACTGCAATCTTTCCTGCAATTTGCCAGTAAAACCCAAAACGTACATTCTTTCTGCTCGTTGACACTATTATTCACTACAAATATATCAAAAACTGAAACGTACTAGTCTTCTGCAAGGGAAAATAGCCATGCATGTTCTTGGGAAAATAAGGAGTCTAGACAACTTCAAAGGTCCCTAGGTGAAATCAGAAAGTAGACTTTTAAAGTAAATCTCCAGATTGATAAAACTAAGACTTCTCTGAACAGCTAGGCATTCTTCTAGAACTTAAATTTGACATTGGAAATCATTCCCGTCGTATATTAATGTTAATAAACTCAAAATACAATTCTAGGTAATCATCTCAGGCACACTGGAAATTTCATAATTGATTTACTGATGCATTATCATGCTTCTTCAAGACAAATACGGAAAAACAGCTGAATGAGCTTCGAGTAAAACGCATCACATGTAAAAGAAGACATTGGAAAGAGCACGGGACCTTGAACTCCTCAAAACTGAGTTTGGGAATCACTTTAGGATCGCCACCACTATCAAAACCATATGGATGATTCGGGAAAAGAGCCTGCAAACATAAAGGAACAGAAATTAACATTGCAACAGCTTAAGACAAAACAAAGAAAGAAAAGAATGAGGAAAAAAGCAATTAAGGACCTCACCTTCTGGGAAATCGTGCCCAAGAGGCTATCAGGGTACATTGGACCATTGGACGAAAGCCACTTTTATATGGCAACATTCACTACTGTTCTTATTCCACCAAGTGTTTATCAAATAAAATATAAAACAGTAGCATATCAGACTGCTCCTAGAAAAGTTGTGCAATTATTAAAAGATAAAGAAATTAAGTCATAGTACTACAATATCCAGTTTAAGATTTAAAAGCAAGTTGGATAACTGACTGCTGATAGGATAGTTTAAGAATTTTTTTGCTTCCCCATCTAAGAAGTATTTGTTGAACAAAGTCTTAATTGAAAATAAGCGGGTTACATGCAAAGAACGAAAATGAGAAATGGTACTGTAAAAGATTAAGCTGGAAAGGTCTATGCTGAATGGAGCTGGATGGGGTAGTCATGAAGGAGTGTGCATCTAGGTGTCAGATTCATTTTCTAAAATGTTAATACACAAACACAGCACCAAAGACTAAAAAGAGTCAGTCGTGTATGAGGGGGTGTCTTACATGCTCATTTTTAATTAACCAAGTATGATAACATGATACAACACCTCTGAATGCATGCACATTAATCCACTGTGTCTAGACATTCTTGAAATAAGACTGACTACCTTCTATATCCTTCTACGTATCTCAATATCAAATCAAGAGTAGTCAATAGTTGCTATTGCGTATATTAAATTTCAGAGGGAAAACTTTTATGTAGATGCATTGGTCGCTAACAGGCCACCTTATTCATGAAGCCACTTTGATTAAAAAGTAGATTAGTATTTTTTATAATCTTCTTGAAGGGAAAAAAAAAACTAACTAACTGGTAATCTTCTTGAAAGAAAGAAAGAAAAAAACTCAGAGCTTTTGATCAAATTATCACCAAATTCAACAAAAACTCATTTTAATTCAAAAGGAAAGGTAAATCAATCATTTTTACAGACCATCCTGTATGCTCCTGATCCATGGATAACTAACTCATCCTGCTTTTCTTTTAACTCTTTATCGAAGAGCATTTGCACCTGAAATAGACCTACTGCAGATCCAAAAGAGTGGGTCTGGCCTCTTGATAAGACGCAACGGATATCCAATCCGCCATAGAGTCCCAAACAAGTAACGCAGCAGAACTGATCAAAAGGCCTTTTCGTTCTGCAGAAACCCAGAATAGGTATGGACCTATTTTTGCAGTCCATCTAATCCCATGAACCAAACTAGCAGCCCGTAAAGGAATCGAGTGCTACAGGACTTCACATCAAGGTTTTATTTGCGTGCCAATAGCCATATAATTGTTTTACTTCATAATCTTTAAAAAACTTAACCTCTCAGCCTCCCTAACCTTTTTCCTGGTACCAAAACTAAAACCTATGTGCTCACTGCCAACACACAACTCCTACAAGTCTCGTGACTGAACCATCTAGAAAAAGCTATGCGAAATTTGGGGTTCAGACATTGCACATGAAAACTATCAAAGAGCAAACAGAAAACCAAAAATATTGAAATTTAAACCATCAGCATATGCGGACCAAAACCAGATACAAATGCAGTTATTGAACAGGACAATAATGAAAAATCTGATACAAAAAATTGGAGTTTATTGCCAAAATAACTCTTCTTTTGAAACATATATCCAAAGTAACTTAATTTTAAAATTTATTACCTTTATAATTCTTTTTTTTCCATATGTGGTAGGATAAAGATAGAGGCACATTCTATCTCTTTTTCCCAACTAATATCTTCCCTGATTCTCTCTCTGAACCTTCCCACTTTTTTTTCCTTTATTATTTTGTGTCCTTTCATTATTTTTCCTTGTCAAATGTAATTGTTAAAAGCCAATATTAATATTAACAACATCTAAAACTTCATTATCATTCCTGATATTGTATCTGTAGATGAAAATATTCTCCTCGAATTGATAATTTCAAAGTAAATGAAAATTATTCTCTCGTCTTTTCTATTGTGCAGTTTTTGGAACATTCCTATGGCCTTCAAAAAATTTTGAATACTAATTGCTTTAACAAATGATTTCTCACACCGTGTGTTTGTTAAAATGTCTAAGGGGAAAACTACGTAACAACATAAATTCATGCTCAATATAAGCATGTTCATTTGTAGTGCCTCTCTATCACATAATCAAATAATCTCGTATACCTGAAGTATTTCTGCATATTTATTCAACATCAATTAATGGCTTGTGTTACTTTTGAGAAACTTTAGCATTATCTTAATTGCAATAGTTTGATTACTTTTTGTAAAAGTTCTTTTCAAGGAGTAGGAAGCATAACATAAACAAATATGATAGCCTTGAAGTTTTTGTAACTTTTTCTTGTTATTGCTTATAATGTTCATTGCAATTTTTGTATTTTGCAAATTTATTTTTGAAAAAATATATGCAATAAGCTTGATACACTTAAAAAAAATTGCAGAGAGCAATAATAGCAAGGTCAATAATGGTAAATTTTATTTTAAATAATTATAACGAAATTATCAAAGTTATGTAATTTTCTTGTGCCTCTATAATAAAACAATTTAAATTTTTAGTTTTTATTGGAAACTATAAACTAGATTAAAGATTTCCTTTATTGTTATCCTACATGGTAATCAGGAGTATTAGGTGGCAACAATAACATTTGATTTGGGAATACAATTTGAAAGTAAATCATATTAGGAATATTTTTTAGAAAGAATGTTATTTTGGCAAAAAACTCCAAAAAACTGGTACATACTAATAGACCATAAATTGAACAGCCATAACTACATCAGAAGGAAAAGAATAACGATAAACAACCCAAACAAAAACAAAATCAAAAGACACCCCGCCAGCATCCACCACGATCAATCTACAATATAATTGTTGGCCAAATTGGATCCTGCAAGAAAATTTTCACTTTAAAATCCCAGATGAAGCTAAACATGTTTAATGATACTTGAAAAAGCTAGAGACATATTTCTGGTTACATACACTCAACGCAACATGTTTTGTGTGCCTAAAAAATATATATAGAAATATGGAACAAAAACAGATTTCCTTGTGAGCCAGAATAATTTGATAACAAGAGCGAAAAGTGAAGAATATAGATTTACGAATTCCAGCATTTAAAAAAAATTTTATTGTAGCAAAACTTTCCATAGGTGTTTTGGGGGTGTATTTTGGAGTATTTTAAGAATTTAAAATTTTAGTGGGATATTTTTTCAAAATTCAAAAAAAAAAAATCACCAACCACCACCCTTCCCTTCTCCCTCCATCACCCCTCACCCTTTTTCTCCCTCCCTCTCCCTCTCCTTTTTTCTTTTCCTTTTCCTCTCCCCCGTCAACCCCCCCTCTCTCTCTGGTTGCACCAGTGCGAACTAGAAAGTTATCCCCTTCCCTCCCTCCCCTCTCCAGTCTCTGGTGGTGACCAACGTAACCAGATTTGGTCTCACTAGTCACGACCAAAGAGGGGAAGGTAGGGAATAAGGGGCTACTCTGGTTCACGTCGGTGCAACCAAAGAGAGGGAGGGAGGGAGGGTTGAAAGTAGGGTAACAAACGAATCGAACTGTTTGAATCAAAATTCGACTTGAGTTCGATCAATATTGAACTCGAATTGGTCAAATTAAACTCGAACTCAAACTCGAGGTCAAAATATTAAACTCGTTAACTCGCGAGCCAACTCGTGAACTTTTAATAATAAAATTACATATATTCTTAATTTTTAATTATTTATTAAGAAAATTTATTTTATTCATTTTTTAAAAAAAATAATTTTTTTTTATTTTTTCAACCTCAAGTTTTAGATTGACGGTTTGTTGAGTTCGAGTTCAAATTTGATAAAATTAAATCAAGACTCAACTTGATTAAACAAAAACTCGACTTGAATCGATTCGTTTATAATCCTAGTTGAGGAGGTGGGTTGGGAAGGGGGCACGAACTAGAAAGTGACCCCCTTTCTTCTCTTTCTTCTCTAGTGATGACCAGCATGACCAGATCTGGTCTCACCGATTGCAACCAAAGATGGGAAGTGGGGGATAAGAGGTTACTCTGGTTTGTGTTGGTGCGACCTGAGAGAGGGAAAGAAGGGTGGAAGGTCGAGGAGGTAGGTAAGGGAGGGGAAAAGAAAGAGAAAAAAGGAGGAGAAAGGAGAGAGAGAAGAGGGGAGGGGGAGGGGCAACGATGGCTGTGAAGTAAGAGAGGAGTAGTGGTGTGTGGTGGTAATGGGTAGAAGAAGATAGAAGTGGAAGGTTTATTTATTTATTTATTTATTTTATTAATTGTATATGAGATTTGTATGGATTAGGTGTTTTTGGAAGTGTGTTATTATAGTTTATTGAAAAATTTGTTTGTGAAAAAATGGCAAATCCATAGAAACCCTTAGGTTGTGTTTGGATTGCATTTTTCGTCATTTTTCATGGAAAAATTACTGTAACAATTTGATATATGTGAGGGAAAAAGGTGATTACGGAAAACGACAATATTTTTCGACGGAAACAAGCAATCCAAGCATGGCCTTAGTTTTCTGACAAAACAGAAAAAAAGGCATAAATAACTAAATTACATATCCAAATACCATAATTATCTGAATTCTTTTTCTTTCTTTTCATTAGTAAAACATCTCATCTTTAGTTGTTAGTTTGTATTTTTCCTCCTCTTTTGTTGGTGAGATATGAAGTCCAAAACTTCAAAAAAATTTCAGCAAAAACTTCTATCAACAGCATAATCATCATTGAATCAGGAACTCTTTAAATAATGTTTAAGGGAATATATCAGATTGCAACTTTTGGACATACAAGAATGCCAACTGATAACTCTCTCAGAAATCAAACAAAATAGTTAATAAACAAGATGAATTAAATTTACCAACAACTGGAGCCCTTGGTTGGGTTGTGCTTTGTTGACGAGACCTGCTAGAGCCGCCTCTGGGTTGAGCTG